TGGGAGAAATGCAGCCTGTCTTTCAAATAGTCTCCAGGCAGAAGGACTTCCAATGTCAGGGTCCTAGGCCAAGGTGGGGAAGTAAAGAGGCCTTGGGTGGATATGCAGGGAGGCAGGGGAAGAGAAGGGAGACTCAAAGGAGGCCAGGTGGGAATGATGTGGGCCCAGGCAAAAGGATGAGGGGCAAAAGAGGAAAGTAAGAAGAGGTTGTGATGGGGATAATGGGGGTATTTGTGGTTGTCTCAAATGTGGTACAGCATCCCGAGTTAAGGGGTGGAAGTGGCCAGAGGGATTGTGGGCTTGGGGAATGTGCAGGTCTGTTGGGAAGAGGTGGGGAGAGAAAGCAGTTGGGCAGGGGGCTCTGGTGGTAGTGGGCTATAGGGGACAGATGCCAGCAGGATTCTCTCACCTTAGTGTGCAACTTGGCCAGCTGCTTCTCATCCAGGTTGGTCTGTTTGTAAACTCGGGTCTTATATCGGAACTGAGGTCAGGGGTAGGGCAGTGAGAGAGACACAGAGACTTGGAATCAGGAGCCTGGGGAGAAGGCTTGGGGTAGGGAGAAGGTCTGATCCCCTTCTAATTCCCAAGGGTAGCTCAAGGTAGGAGTGGAAACAGCCCTGGAACCTTGGTCTAGCGGGTAGAGGGGTGGCAGTGGCTTTTCTGAGTGCTGGATATCATGGTATATGTGCACTGCAACCCCTGCTTTGAAGGAGGAGGAGTCTGGACCCCACAGGAAATGTTCTAGAGTGCCTACTGTAATTGGGAATCCTCCCCCATTTTGATGGGCGAGGAGAAGCTTGGGGCAGGAAAGTGACTTGGCCAAGGTCACTTAGCTGGTCAGAAGCAGAACAGATGGCAATTTGAACTCAGGACTCTCTGACTTCCCTGTGATGCTTAGAAGATCAGGACTAGTACAATGGGTGCCCCCTCGTTAAGGTTAAGTGTGTTAAAAAGTGGGTGGGGGGCAGATGTGTTTAGGGCATGCCTTCTCTTGTCAGTGAAGGAGTTGGGGAAGCTTCACCTCCAGGTAGGGGACCCCCTTCTCGAAGGACTGGGGGTACTCCCGCAGCAACCTCTCCTCCTCCAGGAAGTTGGCATCACGGCCTGAGGTGGCCGGCTGGAACAGGCCATAGTTGAGCACATCCTGCAGGCTCTCGCTCAGGGCACAGAGCACTTGCTGCTTGGCCGTCCAGATGGTGGCATCTGGGTTGAAGCGCAGGCATTTCTGGTGGGGGAGGAGATAGGGGCTAGGGTGGGCCAGGGGCCACAGAGGAGCCTGAGGTGGGTTGGGAAGTGAGCCAGGAGCTGGGTGTGGGGGTGATCCCTGGGAGGATACCCAGCACCAGTGGAACTCCCCATGTCAGTTGGAGCCCTGTCCCCCTAGCTTCCCCTGTCCCTCTCCTGCCGCTGGCCAGTGGGCAGGTACTCACTGTCTGGTGCAGGTCCGGGATGCCAATCCTGAAGACCATCATGCTGAAGTGGGCGTCGTCTGGGACGGACATTGAGCGGCCCTGGAGGCCTCTAACAGAGGCCAGGCTACCAGGTGCCCCACTGCCCCGGCCCCGGGTCCCCCGGAGGCCTCGACCTGGCCCGTCTGGGGAGCTGTCGGACTCTGAGCCCCCCTCGGGACACTCGCTGGCACTGTGGCGTTCCTCGTCCTCGCTTGTCGCGGGGCTGTGGGTCATTGTGGGGCCACGGGGCGACGGGGGACGGCAGCATCACAGGCGGCTATGGGGGTGAAGGGCAGCCATCAGACTAGGAACCCGGGGCCCCTCAGAGGCCACTAGTGCTACTTGGTGGTCAAGCGGTCAAGGGCAGCCTACCCCCACTGCCCAAGATAGGCAGGAAGGAGGCCGGGCACACCCTTGGCCTGCATGGCCTCCCCTGCCGCCTCCTCCCACGCTGGCACGCACACACCCCTGTCCCTGACATGCTTCTGGCATGTGTCTCCTTCCCTGCCCTTGGCCCCGCTTGCAGCCCGCCCCCTGCGCCCCACTTTGCCGGTGACCCAGCGTGGCCGTGTCCCAGAAACCGCAGAATCACCGCGGGAGCTACTGGCCCACTTTGCCAGGCCACAGAAAATACAGCTAAAATTAGCTAAGGACAGACAGATGGACAAACTGACAGGCATCCTGCCCTCCTGGCCCCAGCCTGGCCTGTCACCCCAGGGCCGGGGGGTGGGGTTGGGGAGAAGCTGAGGCTGAGACTGAGATGTAGTAAGGGGGAGAGGGAGGCGTGGTGAGCCTGGAGCGGGTGGAGCCGGTGACTTCACTCAAGTGTGGCTGACAACGCGTGGCATGCAGAGTAGTGCTGGGGAATCGGCCGTCCCAGGGGAGCAAGGGGCACTGAGATGGCAGTGTCATGGGCAGAGCATTTGGCCTAGGGTGTCCCCAAGGGAACCACAAGAAGTGGCTTTTAGAGACTGGGGCCTCTTGAGAGGGTGTGTGGGTGGGTGGGGAGGTTGGCCCGGGGAGTGCTGTACTGGTGACAGTGGTGTGGTGGCCGGGGTAGATGTGGATGGCTGCAGATGACCTGTAGCTCTTTTCTAGGACTGCAGGGTGGGTGGGCTGGCTTTGCTGGGTACTAGGGGCTCCACTCTGAGGACTGGGGGTGTTAGGAGGGAGGCTAAGAGGTGAGAGGAGGGTCTGGGAAACTGAGGTAGGGGGTCATCTTTGGATCCTCGCTGTTCTCCCTTGAGGTGGACTTATGAGGGTGGAGCCCCTTCCAAATGGGGTCCGCCTCCCTTCTGTTCTCCCCCAACTCCCACCCCAGCACCGGAAACCAGAATGTCTGGTCTGGTCCCTCCCCCCCACACCAGGCCCGGTTCCTGCACCGTTGCCATGGAGATGGGAAGCAGTGGAGGGTACTGCTGACTTTGGGGGAGTGGGGATGGGCTGGGGGGTTGGGAAAGGGAAGACTAAATGTGTGTGGTGGGAGGAGAGTTCCAGGAGCTGTGGGCGAGCGAGCCTCTAACCCAGGGCCGGCGGACCCCTCCCCCACGCGCGACAGCGCTGCGAAGCCCCCTCCCCCTCCAGGTACCCAGCCACACCGCCCCACCTCGTCTCTGCGGAGACCCCGGCCTCCTCCTCCCCGCCCCGCCTCACAGCCCACCTAGCGATCTGGGGCCTGCAGCCAGCCACTCCCCCTCGGCTGACCCTGGCTGACCCCCAGCCTCAACCCCGCTAGGAGGGGGTGGCCGGTGGGATGAAAGAAAAACTGGCCAGGGCCCCCAGCGTGTACGGCTGCCCCAGCCCCCGGGGCCGGCTCCGGCCCCTCCCCCTCAGGGCTCGCGGGAGGGAGCGGGCACGCTCCGCCGGGGCGGCATGAATCAAACGCTCCGCGGCTAAGAATAGCTGGCACGCAGCTGGTACCGAGACGGGCTGAGGAATCGGCGGGGGGGGGGGGGGGGGGGGTGGTGGAGGACGCGCGAGAGGGGGTGCCCTGGGAGGCTGCGGGGGACAGGGGGCGGCTGGCGTGGCCGAGAGCGGGGCCTGGGAGAATGAATGGAGGCGGAGGGAGGCGGGGAGGGGCGGGGAGAGAGAGCCGGGGCCGAGGCTGGGAAACTGGTGGGGGAGAGCCCGACCGCGGAGAGGGGCGGGGGGCACCGGGGAGCAGGAGTCGGGGGCGGGAGCCGAGAGGGCGCGCCGGCCGGCGGTGTAGGGACTGGAGACCTGGTGGGGACGCGGGGAGCTTGGGCAGGGGGTGGGAAGGGACTGGAGGAGCCTGGAAGGAGAAGCGGGAGCTGGAGGGATCGAAGGGGGCGGAGGAAGCCCCGGCCTAGACCCTCGCTGGAGGGGAGTGGGGACCAGGGTGACCTGGCGGAGGGGCCCAGGTGCGCCAGGGTGGGCGAGGCGGGGGAGTGGCCGGGCTGGGCGGGGAGGCGGGTACCGGGACCGAGCCCTGGGCCCCAGAGAGCCGGGAGGCGGGTTCGGGATAGGGGCTCTGCTGGCGGGGGATGGGGGGCGCGCCCTCCCATCAAGGATGCGATCTGGGACGGGGCACCGGGGACCGGGGCGTAACCCAATTTGGCGTCGCCTAGGGCAACGCTCCCCACCTTACCCGCACCCCCAGCCGCACACCCAGGCCAGGAGCCCGGCGCCGGGCCAAGGACATCCGGGGCGCCCTCGCCCCCTCCCGCAGCCCGGGCCCCGCAGCCTCCCCAAACCCCCAGGTTCTCGACCCCCTTACCTGCCTGGCGGGGCTGCTGAGTCCCGGTCGGCGGCGCCCGCGGCCCCTCCCCCCTCCCCCCACCCCCCACCCCCCCGGAGACGGGGGACCCTCAGGCCATGCCCCACCGCCCCGGAGGGCGAGCGGGCCCGGGGAGGGGGCGGGCGGGGGCCGGGGGGGAGGGCGGGAGGGCCGAGGACCTCACCCCCCCCGCGGGCCAGGCCTGGCCATCCGCAGAGCGCCCCCCCTTCCGCCGCGGCCGCCGCGCCCCTCCTCGCCCGCCCCCGGCTGGGTCCGGCCGGCTCCGGGCGCCGCGTCTCCGCCTGCTCTTCCTCCTCCTCTTCCTCGGGCCGCCGCCGCCGCCGCCCGCTCCGCGCCTCCTCTGCCACCCTTCTCGCTCTCTCGCTCTCGCTGTCTCTCCCTCACCCTGTCTCTCTCCTTCCCTCTCTCCCTCCCTCCCCTCCCTCCGCCCTCTCCCCTCCCTCCGGGAGCCGGCGGAGGAGACATCGCCCCTCCCCGCGCCCCCAAACCTCGCCCATCCCCCACCACCGCCGGCTCCGCCCCCTACCCGTGCCCTCCCCCACCACTCCTCGCCACCTCCGAGTCCCCAAATCCTGACTCCGCCCCTGCTTGCTCCCATACCCCGACGAAGGGGTCCTGCCCCCGTAAGGGTGCTCCCCCACACGCCTCAGGACCACCCCCTCCCAGAGAGCTCCCCGTCCCCCTGCACACAGTGGGGCACAATAAATATTTGTTGCCAGACTCTACACCCCCAAATTGAAGTGTGAAGGCTATAGATTCCCACCCTGTCCCCCCAAACACACACACACACACACACACACACACACCCTTTCCATCTCAGTACTGGGTCAGGGCACACGTGGACATACCTGGGCCAGGCCACATTCCCCCAAGGCACAGGTGCACAGTCACCAGCTGTAACGGCACCTGCAGAGTCCCCATATACACACACTCTCCAGCGCATGCATGCCCAGACACAATGCACCTGGGGTACACAGCTACAAACACACCCAGCTACATGCAGTTGTCACACCCCTGTGCCCGGGCACACACGCAGCACATGCACACAACTGCCCACCACACACGCGCGTGCGCGGGCGCGCACACACACACACACACACACACACACAGGCGTTCACCCCGGTATGCATGCCCAGATCTCTCAATACCAAAACGGAGTTACAGCACTGTAGAGACGTGTGCACGCCTTCCCATCACGCCCACCCACCGTGCTGTCCATTGCACTGGTTCGCACTCACCCGTTTACATGCCCAACACCGTGCCATCCTTCCCCTCCAGGATAGTTACTGCTGATATTCCTACAGCACTTTCTGTGTGCCAGACTCAGGGACTTTCACCATCCCCATTTTCTAGAGGGGGAAACCAAGGCACAGAAAGGCTAAGTAACTTGCCCAAGGTCATCCAGCTATAAGGATGTGGTAACAAGGATCAAGAACAGGTAGGCTGGCTCCAAAGTCCTCACTTGACCACTATTGTGCACTCCCAGGCATATCCCCTCATAGTTGCAGATCCTTGTTCATCACATACAGACACACCCAACCATCTCCTCAGAGCTTGCACATGTGTGTGTAGGCACGCATATGCAGCCAGCTGCAGGCAGACAGCTCATTCATGCCTGGGACGCACCCACAGAGAGGGCAGATCCCACAGAGCAGCAGCAAGTGGTGAGTGTCCCCTTAGCCCAGGCTTCCTCATTCTCCCAGCTCCAACAGCACCTCCCGGGCCTGCAGGGGGCAGTTCTAGGCAGCCTCTGGGTTCCCCTCCAGCTGCAGGCTCTCCCGGGTACCCGAGTATGAGCTGGAGGAGGTGCCTGCTCAGCCTGGGGAGGCTCTATCTTGATGCACATCCACTAGCCCAGGTGGTGAGCAGCTGGGCCCGGGGAAAGAACAGCTGCCCATGTTGGCTTCAGCAGCCAGAGAGGCTGTGCACTCCTGCACAGTTTACAAGGCCTTTCCCCATATACGCATTATTTCTTGAGGTCTGTAGCTCCTGGTGAGGGGTCCCAGGTCCCCAACAGGTACCTGAGAGGCCCAGGCTCTGAGGCAGGGAGCAGTCTGCCCAAGGTCACAGTGCCCTCGATGTACCAGGCTTTCTTGGAAAACGGAAGGCTGGAGGCATTGATTTCCAAGGCCCCTCCTGGGGCTCCCGGCAGCCGAGGGCAGATGCCCTGCTCTTGGAGCCAGAAACCTTGGCTAGCTGCCGCCACACTGGTGACCTCCAGCAGGCCATGCTGTTTCAGAGCCTCGGTCTCCTCTTTTGAAGAGCAGGCCCAGTGATCCCCATGCTTGTTGGCACCACCAGCCAGGCCTGGACTGGAAAAGCCCTGCATGACTCATGGGCCTGACATAGAGGAGCATGGCATGGCATCGTGCTTCCTTGCCTCCAAGCTTCTCTCCCACTGCTCTCACCGCCTCCACCCACGCTGCCACCACCACCCTGGGAACTTGGGTGCCAGCAAACCAAAAAGGTGAAGCCTCCAGGCCTTTGACCCCACCAGGAACGGCTATCCTCTGGCCCACTCAACAGGTTGATTGAGCACCTACTATGTGCTAGGTAGGCCTTGTGCTAGGAGATGCAGCAGTGCATAGAAATCCCTACTTTCATTGGCAGGGAACAGACATAACCAAACAAACAAGATCGTGCCAATCTTGATTATACCAAAAAGATGAAATGGGGCTTTTTAATAAAGTAACTTGTGGAACAGATAAGGTGGTTGGGGAAGGCCTCTTGGAGCTGAGACCTCGATGATGAGAAGGCGCTGGGGAAAGAACCTTCTCGAAGGAGGAAAGGGCTGGTGCAAATGCTCTGAGGTTGTAATCAGCTTAGTATTTGGGGGCAAGCCAAGAGGCCAGGGAAGGTGGAGCCTGGGGGTGGGTGAGGGGAGTGGGGGTGATGAGGCTGCAGAGGTGTAAAGGGTTCTTCCTTCCCAGCCCTCAGTGTGGTAGGCTGTGCTAAGGACTGAGGCCCAGGCTTGGCTTCCCTTCTGCTTATGATGGGAAGGTGGGGGAGCAGGGGAGTGGGGAGTGATGTGATCTGATTTATGGTTTGGAAGGATTGCTTTGGCTGCGGCAAGCAGCCGGGATTGGAGGGGCTCAGGAGGAAGGAGGGGGAGGGCAGGGAGACTGCAGTGGTCCAGGCTGAAACGAGGTGGCTCGCTGAATGCTCAGAGCTCCTTGAGCACACAACCTAGCGTCTGTCGATTTCACCTCCTGCAGAAACCTTCCCTGACTGCTCCTCCAGACTCCCCACCCTCTCCCATCTCCAACCTCCTCATCCCAGGAACTATCTGGCTGCTGGTCTGCAAGCCACTGGAGTCCTCAGCATCACCCAGCCCAGGGCCTGGCCTGCAGGAGGCTTCTAGTAAGATGGTCAATTAATCCCCGAGCCCCATCTTCCAGGGCTGTGTACACAGTCACATGCGTGCCCTTTGCATGTGTCGCCCCGCCCCCACACCCACGCACTAGGATCTCCAGAAAAGGGCTTGGAGGGTGGGATGGGCAATCTAGGGGACAGGAGAGGCCCTGGAGTCTCCTCTACTGAGCATGTGGGCGATGGTGGCCACAGGGTAATAACAACCTCAGCGAGATCCTGAGGTCTGCCCCCTCCTCAGGAATGGCCAGGCAGGGAAGAAGGGAGCAGTGCTCGGTCCCAGCATCCCACCACTGCCCCGATGATTCTGAGCGGGTTCCTGGGCTGAAGCCGGGGCCTGTGTTTTCCAGGATTCCTTGGAGAGCCAGCTCCATCCTCTTCCTGATTATCTAAGCTTTGGGCCACGGCAGAAGGAACGGAGCAGGGCGGAAGCGAGCTCTGGAAAGTGGAAAGAGGAGGGTGTGCGAGGAGACCCAAGGCGGGATCCAGGCTTTGGAACGTTGGAGGTTTCCGGCCACAGAGGCAGGGCCTCGGGGGAGCCAAGAGGGGCGGGGAGAGACACACACAGAGGAGCAGAGGAGACCAACGGACCGGACAGAGACGAGGAGAGAAACAGGAAGAGAGAAACTGGGAGAGTCGGGAACCTGGGGGCTAGTGACCTGCACACAGGGCAGGGGCACTCAGCAGTTCCCAGAGGCCACCCCTCCCACCCCAGACATCCAGACATCTGGAACTTTGGGTGCCAAGAGTCCAGCTTAATGCAGGCAGCCTGGCTTTTGGGGGCTTTGGTGGTCCCCCAGCTCTTGGGCTTTGGCCATGGGGCTCGGGGAGCCGAGAGGGAGTGGGAGGGAGGCTGGGGAGGTGCCCAGGAGGAGGAGCGGGAGAGGGAGGCCCTGATGCTGAAGGTGAGCTCTGGAGTGTCAGGGAGCTATGGGTGGTGAACTGTGAGCCTGGGAGGGGGTATTGCAAGGTTAGGGAAATGGACAAAAAGGAGCAATTAGGATAGTCTCGCGGGGTGGGGGTGGGGGGTTGGTGATGGGCTCAGAGACAGGACTCAGGGGGCAGAGAATGAGTTAAGAGTTGGAAAGTGGCGCGTGGGGCATCTTGGTGGCAGGCTGGGGCTCACCGCCCCTCCCCTGCCCCAGCATCTGCAGGAAGCCCTGGGACTGCCTGCTGGGAGGGGGGATGAGAATCCTGCCGGAACTGTTGAGGGCAAAGAGGACTGGGAGATGGAGGAGGACCAGGGGGAGGAAGAGGAGGAGGAAGCAACGCCAACCCCATCCTCCAGCCCCAGCCCCTCTCCCACCCCCGAGGACATCGTCACTTACATCCGTAAGTAACCAGAAGCCCTCACCCCCAAACCCCCAGGCCGCCGCGGTCACTTTCGCAAAAATGAAGGGTCGGCTCCCTGCCGGGTGGTCTTTCAGTTGTCCATTGCCTAGCCCAGAGCCCCCACACCCCTAGGAGCCCCAGGTCCACGACCATGCCTTCTAAGAGCCTGGCGCCACTCGACCCTACCTTCCAGGAGTCCGGGGTCCCCCCACACCGCCACCCCGCCCTCAGGAGCCCTAGGTCGCAGTTCTCCAGATCCTCAGTCCCCCAGCTGCATCTCCAGGCTCCCCCTCCAGCACGATCCCTGTCTGTCCGCAGTGGGACGCCTGGCTGGCCTGGACGCAGGCCTGCACCAGTTGCATGTCCGTCTGCACGCTTTGGACACCCGTGTGGTCGAGCTGACCCAGGGGCTGCGGCAGCTGCGGAACGCGGCGGGCGACACCCGCGATGCCGTGCAAGCCCTGCAGGAGGCGCAGGGTCGCGCCGAGCGCGAGCACGGCCGCTTGGAGGGTGAGTCCACGGCACGCGGGGTGGAAAAAAATGAGACTATTTGGTCAGGTATGGGACTGGTTGAGAAAGTGACCCTAGGTGTCCGGGGCGGGAGAGCTGCTGTGTGCTAGCGGACGGGGTTAGAGAGCTGGGAGGCTGAACGCAGGGAGCAGGGTGGGCACTCCAGAGCCGCGCGGACCCAACTGGGGCAGCACCACGCCCCCTACAGTCCCGCCCCCACCGCCTGACCCCGCCCCTGGCGGACCGGACTCTCCACCTTCTGGCTCCCAAGGTTCTGACCACGCCTCCTCCCAGCCCGCCCTACGAGGTCCTGACCCCGCCTCCCTCCACTCCCGGATGATTTGTCCCCGCCCCCTTCCGGTCTCCGAATGCATAACCCCGCCTCCTTCTCTACCCGGCCCCGCCCACAGGCTGCCTGAAGGGGCTGCGCCTGGGCCACAAGTGCTTCCTGCTCTCGCGCGACTTCGAAACTCAGGCGGCGGCGCAGGCGCGGTGCACGGCGCGGGGCGGGAGCCTGGCGCAGCCTGCTGATCGCCAGCAGATGGAGGCGCTCACCCGCTACCTGCGCGCGGCGCTCGCTCCCTACAACTGGCCGGTGTGGCTGGGCGTGCACGATCGGCGCGCCGAGGGCCTCTACCTCTTCGAAAACGGCCAGCGCGTGTCCTTCTTCGCCTGGCATCGCGCACCCCGCCCCGAGCTCGGCGCCCAGCCCAGCGCCTCGCCGCACCCGCTCAGCCCGGACCAGCCCAACGGCGGCACGCTGGAGAACTGCGTGGCGCAGGCCTCTGACGACGGCTCCTGGTGGGACCACGACTGCCAGCGGCGCCTCTACTACGTCTGCGAGTTCCCCTTCTAGCGGGGCCGGTCCCCCGCCTCCCTGCCCATCCCACCAGCCGGCCTTTCCCTGCGCCGTGCCCACCCTCCTGCGAGATCGCCCTTCCCTTCCTGTCCACGGATGGCAGCATCTCCCCCACCCCGCTCCAGGCTGGGCGCTCCTGGGAGGGCTCTTGCGGTGCCGGGACTCCTCCTTGTTAGTGTCCTTCCTTGAAGGGGCGGACACCAGGCTAGGTCTGGTGCCAATAAATCCTTGTGGAATCTGACTTGAGGGGCAGTGAAGGCACTCTTGGACTTTATCTTCTGCAGGGAAAGCCGGGAAGGGCCAGACCCTGGTCTTTGGGCGCGTGTCCTGGCCTTTGGACGCCTGTTCTGGTTTTTAAAGATGTAATTTGAGCCCCAGATAGAGTGATGGAGAAACACTGGTGCATATGTACACACATTCATCTGTTCTGTGCACAGATGCCCGGAGTACACGCGTGCAAATGCTGTAGACACCTTCACCTCCATCGTGCCCTCTCTCGGCCTTTGGAACCCAGGGACTGTCAATCGTCCCAGGCCTTGGTCTTGGTCCTGGTCAAAGAGATTTGGGAAACATGAAGGAGCTAAAGGCTCTGACAAGTCCTGCAGGAAAGCCTGTTTAATTTGTTTAAGTGGTGTGTCTCCAATTTGTTTCCCCAGATGATACGGTTTCATGGACTTGTTGAGATGATATATTGAGACATGGACTTAAGGACCCACCCAACCCTGAAGCTTAGACTTCCAATTTTCCCTCCTCTGCTTCCTGCCAGTGAGGCCCGGAGCCAGGCCCTTCCCCTCTGCGAGCCTCGGGTTTTTCATCTGAACATGGGCACATTCCCTCCTACTTTGTGCAGCTCTTGGGATGTTCAGGTGAGACCAGGACAGTGTGCATTTAGTGATGGCTGAACTTGAGCCACACGCTACCTTCCTTCCTCACCCTTTTTTTTTTTTTTTCTTTTTTTGAGACAGGGTCTTGCTCTGTTGCCCAGGCGGAGTGCAGTGGTACAATCATGGCTTACTGCAGCCTCAATCTTCTGGGCTCAAGCAGTCCTCCCACCTTAGCCCCCCAAGTAGCTGGGACTACAGGTGCACCCCACCATACCTGGCTAATTTTTGTATTTTTTTAGAGAGGTCGGGTTTTGTCATGTTGCCCAGGCTGGTCTTGAACTCCTGAGCTCAATGAATCTGCCCGCCTGGGCCTCCCAAAGTGCTGGGGATACAGGCGTGAGCCACAGCGCCTGGCTCTCCCTTACCGTTTTCATATCTTTACTCCCTGGGGGCAGTGAAGACACCCAGGAGTCAGCCAGCCTGGGCCTCAGCATAGTGGACAGCTGTTTGGAGGAGAGGCACTTTGGAAATCACCCTAGTACCTCCCCCAAGGTTGGCATCATGGGCGTGACCCTGACATCAGGGAGCCCAGGAATGGGAATGTGACCCTGTCTGTCCTTACCACTCTGCCTCTTCCCTTCCTTCAGCCATGGCACCACTGCCTAAAGGGTCACCATTGGATCCACAAGGGAGGAGCAAGCCATCAGGGTCAGCTTGGATAGAGGGAAGATCACCCACCCTTCTCTCTACTGGAGTCATTTCTCAGCCCCACAGTCCCAGAGGAATGCAGAATAGGAGAGTGGGGGTGTGGCCTGGAGTCAGCCTTCAATCAGAAATTCTTCCCATGCTGAGCTTCAGTTTCCCCAGGGAGGAATAGGCAGCTCTAGATCTTATAGGCAGCCAGAGATCAGATTAGGCAGACAATGATGAGTACCTGTTACTTCCCACAGGGGTCTCTGCCCTAGCAGAGCTTCCATTCTGGAAAGTATTTGGGCATGGTACACCATGGCTGCCCGCCCGGATTCTGGAGCCAGATGGCCCAGGTTCCAGTCCTGTCTCCTATCAGCCACTTATCTCCTGGGAAAACCTGAGTGAGACATAACCTTGCTGCTTCTCAATGTCTCCATCTGTACTGTGGGGATAATAACAGTATTGATCTAGAATAATACCAGACACAGAGGGGTCTTTGCAGTTCCCAGATCTGATCTTCACCTCTGTGTGCTCTCTCCTGACACTGCATTTGTATATGCAAAGATCTCCATCCTCCCTCCTCTGTAGGGTAAACACCCACTTCCAAGAATTGGATAACACATCACCCCAAACATCCAGCCTTTCCCCCGAGTCCCGCGCGGGGTTAGGGATCCCCTTTGGTATCCACAAACCCCTTGTTCCTCTCTTGACCCAGCCCTGATCAGACAGGCTGAGGGACACTCCAGGTGCGTAGGGGGAGGGCAGGACAAGGTATGACTATCTCTGTCCCCAGCGTCGCCTGGCACAGGGGAGCCCTTTGAATGAAGATTCTTGTGTGGCATCATGCAGGGGACCCTGAGATGAGTCGGATCTCTGCTGCTTTTCCTCCCTGGCCTCCCCAAGGCTGGGTGAGGCACCTCCTCTAGTTTCCCATAGGGTCCGGGGCTTTCCACATCACTTTGGGTGCCACTGTGTGGTCTGAGAGACAATATCTGTCTCCCTGGCAGGGCCTGGAGCTACCATACCAAGCACAGGGCCAGCTGTGGGCATGCCGAGAGAGAGGTCTGAAGGGAGTGGCGTGCCTGCAAGGACTGTTTATGCATCAGAACAGCACACCTATATGTGGCATTCGGTGCTGATTCCTGACTCTGGTCTGCGTGGGAAACCTACTCTCTCCTCCAGGAAGCCCCACCAGACTTCCCACGGGCCAGAGTTTGCCAGTGTCCTCTCCCTGGCTCTCTGCGGAGCGCTGGTAGTTTGCAAGGCCAGAGCCATGGACCAGGGGGCGCCTTTTAATGCTGATTAGAATAGATGCATTAAGGAATCCCAGGGAAGTAGAACAAGGGCAGGAGGCCTGGGATGATTCAGCAGGGGAGGAAGAACCAGAGAAGAAAGAAGAACCAGCGGCCGCACGGGCTTGCAGGGCGATAAAGCCCAAGAGGCCGAGCAGCAGGCCCATTACCGCCTTCCCAGAACCACGTTTTTCCGCAGTAACCGGGTGACTCCAACGGGTCACCTCTCAAGCCCCGCCCCTCCTCCCACGTGAGGTTCGCCTCCTTTTCCCAGCAAGCCTGAGGGCCACGCCTTGGCGGTGAGGTGGGAGTTCAGACCCCTCTCCACCCCGGCCTCGCCCCGAGGTACTCTGGGAAATGTAGTCCGGTCACGCGCCCGCTGGTAGGAAAACCGCAATTCGCGAAGCCTTAACGTTCAACTCGCGTTTGGATCTCTCGGACGAGAGTTTCTCAGAACAGGTGCATTTCCTTGGGTAGATCATAACCATTTTTTAAAAAGTGAAATAAATTCATATGAAATATTAGTGTCATAGAAAATGGTAAGAAGCTTTTCAAAATTTAAACGTCGATGTGCTGAATTAACAATATAAAATTCAATATAAAATTTCTTTGTGGCTAAACACTGGTCCAAACCAACTTAGTTTCTTTCTTTTCTACTTATTTTCGGGTTCTGGTTTTTTGTTTGTTTGTTTTGCTTTTGTTTTTGTTTTTTGAGACAGAGTCTCACTGTCACCCAGGCTGGAGTGCAGTAGTGGCTCAATCATAGCTCACAGCAGCCTCGACCTCCTAAGCTAAAGCAATCCTCCCGCCTCAGTTTCCTGAGTAGCCAGGACTACAGGCATGCACCTTAAAGCAAAACAAAACAAAAAAAACAGACAAAATTTTAATTTGGAAATAAGTTTAAACTTATAGATAACCTACACAAATATAAACACTGTAGGACAAACAAATACTCTACTCTGATTTGTTTATTAACAGTTTACCCCATTGCTTTGGCTTCATCATTCCATTTATCCATCCATCCACCCACTCTCCCACCCACCCATCCTAGCCCAATCATCAGGGACAAGCAAGGCAGTCAGGTTTGTTGACCCACTGAAATGAGAGCGATCACCCCTCAGAGCAGAAGCTGCAATCGAGTTACAGGATTTGGAGGAAGAGAGAAATTCGGATGAAATTTAAGTGAAACAATGTTTAGATAGGTTTAGAACAAGGTAGGAATGTGTATAAGTGAGTCAGCATCAGGCCTGGGCCGCGTGCAGTAAGCTCATGTCTGTAATTCCAACACTTTGGGAGGCCAAGACAAGAGGATTGCTTGAGCCCACGGGTTCAAGACCAGCCTGGGTGACATAGTGAAATCCCAGCTCTATGGAAGGAAGGGAGGGAGGGGAGGGGAGGGGGAGGAGGAGGGGAGAGGGAAGGAGAGCAGAAGGGGAAGGGGAGGGTAGGAGAGAATTATCTGGGTGTGGTGGCACATGCCTGTAGTCCCAGCCACTTGGGAGGATGAGGTGGGAGGATTGCTTGAATCCAGGAGTTTGAGGTTGCAGTGAGCTATGATTGTATCACTGTATTCCAGTCTGGGTGACAGAACGAGATCCTGTCTCAAAAAAAAAAAAAGGAAAAATCAGATTTGGTCTGCAAAGTGGACCTAAGGTCTTGTTTCCCTGGAAACTACAATGTTAATATAAATGTGGCATGCTGTGCCCAGAAACTTTTTATTTAAAACTCTGCACCAGGGCTGGAAATGGAGGCTTCTTATCTTGGTCAAAGTGACAGATCTTCTAGGAAGGAAAGATTAGGCTGTTTCATTCTTACCGATAGACTTTCATACTGCAAAGTTTCCAACAGTCTATGATTTTAGAGAACAAAGTTTCTCAGTGAGTAAGATAGCAGTCGTCACTCATAAAGGGGGCTGTTAGAACACTTTTACTGCTGCAGCTTCCCCCTGGGTGAAATGTGTCCTGCTAACCTTACAGTTTTATCTGGGTCTATAGATGAAGGGCAGGCCAGATTTTTACAGTATTAGCTAGCTTTAGCTCATATATATATTTATATATATATAATTTTTCTTTTCTTTTCCTGCCTTTCTTTTTCTTTCTTCATTTCTCTCTTTCTGTCTTTCTTTCCTTTTTGTTTTTTTTTTTTTTTTTGAGATGGAGTTTCGCCCTGTTGTTCAGGCTGGAGTCCCATGGTGCAATCTTGGCTCACTGCAATCTCCACTTCCTGAGTTCAAACAATTCTCCTGCCTCAGCCTCCTGAATAGCTGGGACTACAGGGGCCCGCCACCATGCCAGGCTAATTTTTGTATTTTTAGTAGAGATGGGGTTTCACCATGTTGGCCAGGCTGGTCTCGAACTCCTGACTTCAAGTCATCCACCCGCCTCAGTCTTCCAAAGTGCTGAGATTACAGGCATGAGCCACTGGGCCCAGGCCATTTTTC